CAGTGACATAGGAATAGCCTAGTTGAGGCATCTCTGACCGAACTCCTAAAATATAACTCTTCAAACTTCTACTCAAACCTTAACTGATCAAATTTGAGGAACTAAAAAACCGTGAACATGAACAAACTCCTCAAACGAACTAAACCCCACAGGGAAAACTCTCTCCCGTTTCTTCCTTCTTTCTTCTTCTTTCCACACGGCCAACGACGACTTCACGTCACTATATGGTACCCATGAGTTAGCTAGGACCTAGGATAGATGTTGCACGGAAGCAATTTGACAGAGACTTACCGTGTGTGACATAAGTGCGTGAGGAAGTAGTCGAGAAAGTAGCGAAAATTCCTCCTACACGGGCTATGACTTGGGTGCTCATCTGAATGATTTCTTCCACTCATCTTTATCTTAGTGGCACAATGGTGTGGTCCATAACGAAATTCATCCGAATCGGCAAAGATGGCCGACCACTTTTCATGTACATTTTCTTAGTGTACATGAGCTTTTCCTTTGTAGGTGTTTCTTCGCGCGTGTTGCACCTTTGCTAGTGGAGCTTTGCCACGCCTATGTGAAATAGTTGTGAAATTTAGTGTACGATATTAGTTGGCAAGTTTTAGCGGAAGGGGGGCCACCCTGAAATTCAAGGGGAGGAGAGAGATTTATGAGACAAGTTACGTAGGTGTAGGAGTTTCCTTGCGTGTGACTCGAGATGACAAGGGGAACGCCGCCAAGCTAGGGACGATGAATAGAAGCATCGTCATGGGCGAAACCACAAGAAGACAAAAAAGTGTAAAAGAAAAGTTTGCGGATGTTCATCAAAATTTGGCAGCCGGAGGTTGGCGGGGCCACGGGTGTCAACCGGGTGCGGGGTGGTCGTTGAAGGCAAGGAACACAACAAGGCGACACCGTGCACGCAGCCGAACAAGAGAAAGAGGTGGTCGTGTAAGAGAGAGGAAATCTTTTGCTAAGGCTTGATTTTGCTCTCTCAACTTTGAGAGGCGGCAAACACTTTTGTTAAAGGTTTTGAGAGTTCGCCAACTTATTAGGGAAACGATTGTGACCGATGCGCCGGCCGAATTTTCAGCCGGCCGTGAGCCTCGCTGGCATCCCGCGCCCACCAAAACAGCACCCCCGCGTGAGACGCGTTTTTAGGCCCCACATAGATCGCACCCTCCTCCCTTATCTTTTCCCAACCGCACACCTTCATCCCCTACATCCAACTGCATCCCTCCCCATGGTCGTGTTTTCTTCTTCCTTTCCCCCGCGTTCTTGCCGGCCATGGTCACCTATGTCGCCGGCTCGTCGCACCACCCGCGCTCCGGTTGCACCACGCACACCCGTTGTAGCAAATTTGGTCGCCGGAGGTAGCTCTTTCCACTGCCGGTTGCAACAAATTCGCAACCGTCGTCGCCGGCCACACTTTTGTCGTCTTCGTGTTTGTAGCAAAAAGGGAAAAAGCTTCAAACAGTGCATGAAAAAGATTCATCCGGTGAGTGAAAAAGCTTCAATGGCCATGATAAAAAGCTTCATCGGCGACCATTTGTTACACACTTTGTTAGTTTTTGCTACAACCGGCGACCAATTTTGCTGCATCATCGATGGCCAGAGTTCTTCAGATAAGGTGCATGTCGACGATGGAGCTCCGATTTGTTGCAACCAGCAACTTGCAAAGCTTCCACCAATGAGTTCGATGGCGATAGATGGAAGTGGCAACCAGGGAGACGATGACGATGCGAGCGGCATGCACCCGACGGTGAGCATCGTCGGCGAGGGCGTCCAGCGGCGCACCTAGCGTTGCAACCATTGGGGCGGTGAGCTGCAGCTGGTGCTACAACGGCGTGAAGTCGGAGCGGCAACCCGTCATGGCGATGAGCTGCAAAAACACGACGGTCAGCGATGAGGGGCCGGCGATGAGGGATGCGAACGACGGCGACGAGTTGCAAGCACGGCGCGGGAAAGGCCGGTGGTGCTCGCTGTCAGCTTTTCTTCTCTCCGCGCGCGATGGCGTGATTTGGGGAAGAAAACCACGGATACAGGCGGAGGATCTGATCTGACAGTTGAAGGTGTTGCATCACACGCTGCATCGAACGGCTGGGGCTCGACCGGCCCAACAGTTGGGCCAGCGCGACGGCGCAGATAGCTGCCCAACTTATTATCTATATCTATACCCAAATGGATAGATCCAAACTATTTCGACCGTCAAATCATGTTATCTAGTGGTTCAAATCGCTCCAATGTTGAGCACCAAACACGTTTAACGCTTTAATTACCCACTACTGCCATTGGTTATAAACACGTTTTGACTCAACATTATCCCTTGAAATCTGCCATGTAATTAATATCTTACCATTCCCACAAAAAAATAATTGATATCTTACCAAATACCAACATGCAACAGATATATCTTACCTAATATAACATGCAACTAATATCCTACCTAATATAAATGTG